TTAAAAAAAAAAAAAAAAAAAGGAGGAAGGGATATTAAAGCACACAAATCCCATGTCCAAGGAAGTAGGATTTAATTGGCGCAGAAGTGGTGGTTACTGATGGATACACTTAGTTGAAAGGGAAAAACAATCCAGGTCAGAATAAATAAGGGAAAAATTTGCAACTTTGATTGAATTGTGAATTCAAAAACAGGAAGAAATGAAGCAAGAGCAGTAAATGCTTAGGGATTTGATCCATGTCAGCTTTCCAATAAAGTAATCCCTGCCCCAAACTTTATTACTACCTGCAATTTTTTCTACTTCGCTTTTCTGTCAGGAATTCTAACAATTAATATTCATTTAGGTTGCAGTTAAGCCATGTTTGAATTCCTTCAATCAGATTTCTTCTGACTCCAGATTTTCATTACTCTCATCGTCAATATTGAATAGGAGGAAAGATAAGAAACAGTGGTAAACAAAGCCCTTAGGAAGTGTTGCAGTAGAGTTTAAAGGAAGATGAGGTCACTAAGTCCTGGGCACTTGATAGGGGTAAATGGAGAGCAACGGGGTGAGAGACGAGTACAAAAGGGAGCTGGCATACACACTTTTATTTTTAAAATTTGCCTAAGACCTTTACTATGGTGTAAAGGAAAAGAAAAATTTCAGAGTCAGACAGCACTGGGTTTGAAGCCCAGATCTGCCGTTTACTAGCTTTGGGACTTTGGATAGGTTATTACTCTTTCTGAGCCTTGGTTTTCTTTTAAAGTTGAAGTAAGAAATTCAGCAAAGTTGAATTTACTGGCACTCAGTGGACATTTAATAAATATCTATTCCCTCCTCACAGGACCATGCACATAACTAGAACTCAGGCTGATATCAAAACAACTGTACTATATAAATTAAATTTCATAGTGGCTGCTAAGCCAATTTTATCATCATTTCAACAAACTAACAAACTTTTAGATACAGTCTGATACAAATTAGGGCTGTCTTAAGTCTGCATATTTCTATGCAACACTACTATGCTCTGAAATATGCTTTGACAGGAAAAAAAAGCAAATGAATGCAGTAATGGAAACAAAATCCAAACGACAGAAGTAAACAGTTTGCTATACTTAGTTTTGTTCAGATCACTCCTGGAATAATATATTCAATTCAGGCACTACATATGAAATGAGAATTCATACTGAAAAGGGTAATGAAGTCATTCTTTTTATCTAAGCATCATTACTAAGTTACTGCATTTGACCTTCACAATACTGTGAAGCTGGTGTGGCAGATATTAATTCCATTTAAGAGATGAGAAAACTGAGGCTCAGAGAAAACAGGAAATTAGTTTGGAATTTGAGCACAGAAACCATGCATGTGGGAAATTTTATAATTCATTAGAGTAGTAAAAATTGGAGAAGAGTTTGGGAAGAGGGAGGGCTAAACTACCTTGAAAAACAGAAATTAGAAATAACTATAACACTATATCTAGGCCTGGCGGTGGCACACACCTGTAATCTCAGCAGTTTGGGAGGTTAATGTGGGAAGAGTGCCTGAAGACAGGAGTTTGAGACCAGCCTGGGCAACACAGCGAGATCCTATCTCTACAAAAAATTTTAAAAATTAGCCAGGCATGGTGGCACATCCTGTAGTCCCAGCTACTCAGGAGGTTCAGGTGGAAGGATCGCTTGACCCCAGGAGTCAAGGCTGCAGTGAGCTATGATTGCACCACTTCACTCCAGCCTGGATGACGGTGAGATCCTGTCTCTTAAAAAAACAAACACACAAACAAAAAAAACCTGGGAGACACACAAACAAACAAACAAAAAAAACCTGGGAGTGGTGGCTCCAGCTTATAATCCGAGCACTTTGAGAGGCAAAGGTGAAAGAACTGCCTGAGCCCAGGGGTTCAAGACCAGCCTGAGTGACCTGACGAGAGCGCGTCTCTACAATAATTCAAAAAAATTAGCCACCGTGGTGGTGTGCACCTGTAGTTCCAGCTACTTGGAGGAAGGATCGCCTGAGTCCAGCAGGTCGAGGCTGCGGTGGCCGGGAGCGGCCACTGCACTCCAGTCTGGGCGACAGAGTGAGACTCCAACTCAAAACAACAACAACAACAACAAAAGCCACCCTATCCATTCGCAAAGATACGCACACATACTTGTGCATGCAGTTCATGAAAGACTACAGAAGATGTTGCCAGCAGTGATACCTTTGAGAAGTGATGGATGAGGACAATCCACTTAATCTGGGGTCCTCAACTCCCGGGCCGCGGACCAGTACCGGTCCGTGGCCTGTTAGAAACCGGGCCGCACGGCAGGAGGTGAGCGGCGGGGGAGCTCCGGCTGAGTGTTGGATCAGCAATAGCATTCATTAGATTCTCACAGGAGCGCGACCCCTATTGCGAACAGTGCACGCGAGGGATCGAGGTTGCGCGCTCCTTCTGAGAATCTAATGCGTGATGAATCCATCCGCCCCTCCCGTCCGTGGAAAAATGGTCTTCCACGAAGCCGGCACTTGATGCCAAAAAGGTTGGGGGCCGCTGACTTCAACAGTTCTCAACCCTTGGAATTAAATGACCATAAGCCATGCTCTCACGGAAGTGCAAGGTTTAGGCTGTCGCGCAAGAACTAGATGAATGCGGGTGGATCACGGGGCAGAGCGGCCGCCGGTGGGACGACGTGCTGAAAGGGCGCGCAAACTTCACCAGACGTCACGAGAAGCGCTGTCCAGCAGCGGAACAGCGTGCCTAGAACCAGCGAGGTCCCGCCCTCCGGGCCTTTCACTGTAGGAGGGTGCGACCGGAGGTCCGGGCTCGACGTCAGACCCAGAGACCCTCCCCCGCCGATCCCCGCCTAGCGCTGCCGGCCCCCGTGTGCAAGCGCGGGAGGGTCGGCCAGCCATTACCTCGCAAAGGATGAAGAGCCCGTAGGCCGCGAGCCACACGCTGCAGGTGACAGCGGTGACCGAGCGCAGCGACAGCCGAGGGCAACTGACGCAGAACTCCCGGCAAGACGGGGAGTAGTAGCGGCACTGCAGGACCAGGCGGCCGCCGCATACATCCGAGAAGCTGCGCTCGCCCTCCATGTCCTGCCCGCCCCTCCCCCTCCGTCTGCGACGCGTCGCGCACATCACGTCACGTCACGTCACGCACGCCACGAGCGCTGGGCTCGCCCGCCTGCGCCATCTCGCCGGCTCCATACCCGCTTCCGGCGGCGGGTTAAGCCCCGCCCCCACTCAAACTCCACCCAGACGCAATTGAGCGCTGCGGGCGCTGCAGGTCTATCGGGATGTGTTTGAGTTCAGAGTTTCTCCAACTCAGGAAAAAAAAAAAAACTTTCAAGTCGGGCGCGTTGGTGCTCCCATTATGTAATCCCGGCGCGTTGGGAGACCGAGGAGGGAGAATCCTTGAGACCAGAAGTTCAAGGCCAGCCCTGGCAACACAGTGAGCCCCCCCACATCTCTACAAAACTTTTTTTTTGAGTTGCAGTCTCACTCCGTCGCCCAGACTGGAGTGCAGTGGCCGCTCCCGGCCACCGCAGCCTCGCCTGCTGGGCTCCGGCGATCCTTCCGCCTCAGCCTTTCGAGTAGCCGAAATTACAGATGTGCGCTACCACGCCCGGCTGTTTTTTTTTTTTTTGATTTATTGTAGAGATGAGGTCTCGCTGCCCAGGCGGGTCTCGAACCCGCGGGCTCAGGCAATCCACTCACCTCAGCCTCCCAAAGGCGCGGGATTACAGGCTGAGCCACCGAGCCTGGCTACAAAACTTTTTTTATTTTTATTTATTTATTTTTGAGTCGGAGTCTCACTTTGTCGCCTAGGCCGGAGTGCAGTGGCGCAGTCACGGCTCGCTGCAGCCTCGACCTCCTGGGCTCAGGCGATCCTTCCATCTCAAGCCTCCTAAGTAGCTGGGACTACAGGCATGCACCACATGCCCAGCTAATTTTTTGATTTTGTAGAGGGGAGGTCTTGCAATGTTGCCCAGGCTGGTCGTGAACCCCTGGACTCAGGCGATCCTCCCACCTGGACTTCGCAAAATGCTGGCATTACAGGTGTGAGACACCATGCCTGACCAAAAAAAAAAAAAATACTTTAGTTATCCAGTCGTAGTGGTGCACTTGTAGTCCCAGCTACTTGGAAGGCTGAGGTGGGAGGATGTCTTAAGCTCTGGTGGTCGAGGCTGCAATGAACCATGATTGTGTCACTGCATTCCAGCCTGGGCGACAGAGGGAGACTGTTTCTAAAAGAAATAAATAACCCAAGCCGGGCTCGGTGGCTCAGCCTGTAATCCCGTGCCTTTGGGAGGCTGAGGTGAGTGGATTGCCTGAGCCCGTGGGTACGAGACCCGCCTGGGCAGCGAGACCTCATCTCTACAATAA